TGGTCTCGGGTGTTGTCATCGTCACACAGCGACGGCTGCTGGGACCGTCGCCATCGCACACCCAGCGCTGTGCAAAGCATTGAGTGCTGTCATTATCGCTTGCTCAGAGCTGATTAGGTACCAGGTACCGTCACTGTTACATGGCCAGGGCTGTGTCAGGTGCTGTGACCATCGGACACTGGGTGTACAAGGTGTCAGGTGGTGTCACCATCACACAGCAGGGTGGTGGGTGCTGCCACATCCCTTGCCCAGAGCTGTATGAGATACCCAGTGTCATTGCTGTCACACACCCAGGGCTGTACAAAGCGGTTGTTCTAAGATCTTCTTTGATGGGAAGGCCTTATTGGCATCTTGGGCTTGTGACAACTCAGTTGCTTTTTAATCTTAGCTGCTTGGATAACGTGACCACTCTTCACACTGTTATAAAGTTAATTTGGGTCTCCTGTATGACCGCGGTGGTTGGCACAGGATTTACCAACCCTAGATTTGCTATGGCTAAGTCATTATCTTGTCATTAGTCATTATCTTATGGCTAAGTCATTTGCTATGGTGCTGTCATTATTGCTTGCTCAGAGCTGATTAGGTACCAGATGCCATCACTGTCACACTCTGGGGCTGCACCAGCACTGGGTACTGTCACCATCACAAACCTGAGGCTGTACCATGTGGTGGGTGCTGTCACATCCCCTGTCCAGAGCTCTATCAGGTACCAGGTGTCATTGCTGCCACACACCTGGTGCTGTAAGAAGTCCCAGGTGCCACCATGGTTGCACACCCAGAGGTGTTTGTGACCTGTCTCAGCCCTGCTGTGGATTTTTAAGGCTAAAACAAGAACCCACACACATCACACAGTGTACAGTGGGAGGCCCTGAGCTCAGCCAAAATTATGCTCTGCTCTGCCCAGGTGGTCTGGGCAAGACTCACGTACCCATAAAGGAACAAGATGTGTGGGTCTACAGAGGCCAGGCAGAGCTGATCTGGGTCAGATGTGCAAAATCCTTAAATATCATCAGGACAGAGCTCAGGAAGGTACCGGAGGAGGGTGGGATAGGCACAGGATTGTGCATGGAGAGCCCTGGCGCCCATATCGCATCCAGAACAGTGATAGCAAAGATTAAATATAATGCTGGGGAATGAATGGCACGTTAATGTTTCAGTTTCTGTGGTCTCTGGCATGGCTGCAGATATTATCATCAGTGTTTATGGAGCTGTATCATATCTTGGACCCCTTTCAGGGCTGTTTTTCACAGAGCCAAAGGATGACATCCTCAGCAGGCAGCTGGGAAATGATAGAAAATTGAAAACATACTAAATTGACTTCACAGACAGGGTAGGATTTCAGATATCTGCCTTTCACATGTGTCCCATGAATCCCCTGCTCTCCACAGCCCTTGCTCACATGGGCCTCTTTAGGTGGGAAACCTCAATAGTGGCTTTAAAGGGACTTTAGAAGGACTGCAAGGCTGAGTTTGGGCTGGGTCACTCCTGGCTTGAAAAGGGCTTTAAAAGGAGTACAGAGCTGAGTTTGTGCTGGGTCACTCCTCAAATTTCATCTTTTCCCATTGGACCTTCCCCTTCTCCCTGCAGGCAGCCTGGCTGGGGTGGCTGTGGCTGGGACAGTGGCCATGCCAGGTTGCTGCAGCGAGTTGTGACAGCCAGGATTGTCACCTGGGGCAGTGTGGCAGCTGTGGCTGCACCGATCGATCCATCCCCATCCTTGGCCTCGTGTCCTGGAGAGGGAGCCCGACTCCCAGCTCTGCCCACTGGGAGCAATCCCTGGAAATCTAACGGAGCAGCCTGTCTCCTACTGTAAGGAAGTTCTAACTTTCTAATCCCAGACAGAAAAAGAGAAGCCTGGATTTATTGTATCCTGGAGCTCTCTCTGTTGTTATAAAACATCTTTATGTAGCTGCCTTTCTTATCAAGGAAGAATGAATGATGTTTTCTTCCCATCCGTTAGGCTTGGCTGATATTTTACTGCTAAGTGGAAGCATTAACCCCCCTCACCTGCTCTTTTCTCTTACTTGAGGATTTATGGCACTGCTGTGACCTTGGGAGGGTTCTGGTGTAAGGAGCAGCTGCTTCAGTTTTTTCCAAGACCCAGCAGCTTTTGGGCATGGCCCTTGGGGACTTCAGCCTTGATTAATGGTTGTCCTTCAGCCACAAAATATACCCATGAAACTATCCCAGCCTCCCTCCTTCTTATCCTGCTTCTCTGATGGAAATCAGCACCTGCCCCAGACCAAGTGAGCTCTGGAGGGCCCCGGGGCAGCTCAGAGGTGCCCAGCTGCTGCTCTGGTCCCTCCTGGCCCTTGGGGAGGGTTTGTTTGAGATGTTCAGTGCAGCATCCCTGCTCTCCTCCTCCCCATCCCACTGTGCCAGCTGCTGCGTGCAGTTGGAGGTGTCCCCGCCAGCAGAATTTCCTTGGGAAGCAATCAATTTTATCTGTTGGAGTGCATGGGGAAGGTTGAATCTCTGTGGGATGTTTTTTGAGCTTCTGGGAACGGGATTTGTGCTGGTGTGCCCGCACACAGCCTTGGGTGGTGCAGGAGAAGCAGCCCCGAGGCACCGCTGCTCCATCCCTGCATCCTCCCCCTCCTCTGCTCGGGGCTGGGCACCGCTCGTGGGAGGGATTTCTGACCGGCAGCGGGGAAAGAGGCATGTGAGGGAAAGGAGCTGGACCTGGGGAAGGCAGGGGGAAGTTTCCTGACTGCCCTGACCCGCAGGGAAGCTGCTCTGGTGCGTGTGTGTGTGTGTGTGTGTGCCGAGCTCCTCTCTCCCATCTCCGGAGGATGCGCTGAAGGATCACCCTGCCTGCTTCGGGAAAAACCCCTGCGAGGTGCGAGTCTCCTGCCAGAAGAGCACCCCTCCTTCCTACTTTTTCCTTGCTGGATTTCAAAGTGCCTCGGGAAGGGGATGGCAGCTCCGGAGCAGCTCAGCCCGCTTGGGGCTGCTCTGCTGGGCACAACCCAGCTCCTGTGAGCCCCCAGCTCCTCCAGCTTTGTCAGGCGGCAAATCCCAGGAGGAAAAGTCACTCCAGTGCGTTTCACCGCGAGCAGACGAGCATGAGGAGCCGGGTTTGGCCCGGGGAAAAATCCAGCTGCAACCTGCGCTGTGATTTCCAGCGGAGTGAAGAAAGTGGCTGAGCAGAGAGGGAGGAAGCATCCAGGAAGGATAAATCCGCTCTCCCCCCTGTGCTGCCATAGCTTTGTGCTCTGCAAGGACAGACGGACACGGGAGCAGGAGACTCCCAGGATTCCCGGGATAACCGCTGGAAACACCTGGAGGGAGGGAGAGGAGCTGTGATGGAGTTTCCTGCCGTGGCACTGTCACTCATCGTGGCGCTGCGAATGTCCCCGCTGGCTGCTGGCACCAAACTGCAGCCCCACATGTGAGTAGGAAGGAAAGAGTTCCAGAGGGGTTGGAAAAGCAGGAGCCAAATGCAGAGTTTTCAAATCAGAGAGTGAAGGAGCAGTCGTGGGTTTCTTTATTTACTACTAAATGCGCAGAAAGGGGAATATAAAATTGAAAATGTGGATAGTCTTTTCTTATAGGAGGGAACTCCTTGGTTTAGCTGAGGAAGTTGTTGTGGGTTTTCTTATTTACTATTAGATGTGCAGAAAGGGGAATATAAAATTGAAAATGTGGATAGTCTCTTCTTGTAGGACAAAACTCCTTGGTTCAGCTGAAACTTTTCTGAGTGCAAGAGATGATTCCTGTGTGAATGCTTTGCCCTTTCTTCACGACCTGCTGCTTTTACTTCACTTCACTTTCTCATCCCGCGTTCCTCCCCGCCCGCTGCTGTTACTCCAGCAGCACGTAGGCTGCTCTCTTTAATTACATTTTACAGTTACAGTTTGGTGTTAATCATTTGGCTGCTCTGGAAGACTTCCTTGCAAATTTGGCCTCCTGCCAGAAGATGGTCTCTGAGAGCCAGGGGATCACTGGAATTCCCTTTGTCCATGGAGAGGGGTGCAGACTCCAAGCCGCCCTCCCCGAGGGGTTGAATTCTTTACAAAAAAAAAAAGCGTGTCCTTTAGCAGATAAAGGTTTTGGAAGAAGCAGATTTTTCTCCCCACGTCAGGGTTTTGTGCTCCTGCCCTGGCTGTTGCTTTCAGGACTTCTTGGATGGGGCACTGGAGCAGAGCCCTGTGCCAGCACACCAGGGTTGGAATTGAGCAGCCTGGTGAATTCAGATGCCAGCTGTGACCTCTAAGCTTCACCACGTCCAAATGAGTTATTTTCACTATTTTTTTTAATAGAAAGCATCTCTAAGAAAACTCTGGCTCCTGTTGGAAGCAGCAGAAGCAGCCCCAAATACCAAGTGGCTCATGGAGTCCGGGACAAATGTCTTCACTCTTCATCCTTAGTTAAACCCACTGACTTGTGCTCGGAGAAAGAGTTGGGATTAGAGAAGAAACAAAGTACATTTCTTTGATTTATTGGAATTAGCCTTGCAGCCCTTAGCTCTGAATGAGCATGAAACCACCCCTGTGGCTGGTGGGCCTGGCACTGTTTCTTTTCCCTGCAGTGATTAACTCGTTGAGGGGTGGATGCAGGAGGTTGCCCAAGCCTTTTCTGGGGGAAATCCAGGCAGGGGAACGCTGCACCCCTCACAGCTGTGACCCCTGTCTTGGTTTGAACAGACAGGTGTCTGCTAAGGAAAGCAGGAGCCTTCCTTGAAATGGAAAATGTAAACCTCCTCCCTCTGAATTATTATAATTTTGAAATTAAGGGGCTCTTAGGCAAAGATATGGGTTGAGGAATAACAGTTCTTTACTACAAAAAATTAGAAAAATACAAGTGCAATAGTACAAAAAGAAAAAACACTGCTAGAGTCAGAACAGACCTGGCCCCCTGTGTGTCAGGGTGGTGTCCCAGCCCCATCCCATGGGGGCTCAGCCCTCCTGCAGTGCCAGCTGTGGCTCTGCTGCAGCAGGGATCCTGCACAAGGGGGGAGTTTTCCTCTGCAGCTCCAGGGCTACTGCAGATGGGCCTGGGCTCCCTCTGGGAATGCAGTGGAAAAGGCTGTTGGTGTTTTTCCAACTCTCAGATTGTATCCAGGTAGGAAAGTTTGGCTCCGCCCCTGGGCGGAGCATCTCCCCATGGGATGCTGGAATTTGATCTGCCATGCAGGGACATTCAATGGCCATGGACAGCAGAGATCTCCTTGCTAAACCTGAGACACCCCCTGCATCCCCCTGCATCCCTCTGGCTCCCCAGCATCCCTGACAGCCCTTTATTTCTCTGTTCCAGGCCGAACGTGTGCGCGGAGCAGCAGCTGGCAGTGGTGGGGCTGCGGCAGCCGTGCGTGCAGGCGGCCCGGCTGTGGCAGCAGGACTGCGGGGGCCGCCGCTGGTGCGCGGGCCACGAGCGCAGGTGGGTGCTCCTCCCTCCACCCTGGGCCGCTCCTGCTGGGAAACGGGGGATGGAAACTTCCACAGGCACTTACAAAACATGAAGGGTTTCTCTTAGAAGAGTCTTACTTCAGTAAGACTTGATAAAGTTGTATTTTTCTTAACACTGATGTGATGGTGTTCACAGGGGTCTTAGGTTGAGGGAAGAGTCAAGGATCTGACTCCATGTTTCAGAAGGCTTGATTTGTTATTTTATGATATATATTACACTAAAACTATACTAAAAGAATAGAAGAAAGGAGTTCATCAGAAGGCTAGCTAACAATAGAAAAAAAAGAATGATAACAAAGGCAGCTGTCTTGGACTCTCTGTCTGAGCCAGCTGACTGTGATTGGCCATTAATTAGAAACAACCAACATGGGCCAATCAAAGATCTACCTGTTGCATTCCACAGCAGCAGATAATCAATGTTTACATTTTGTTCTTGAGGCTTCTCAGCTTCTCAGGAGGAAAAATTCTAAGGAAAAGATTTTTCATAAAAGATGTGAAAAAAGATGTGTTCATTTCCTCTGTGACACACTGAGGAAAAAGGGAATGATTCTAAAATATTCACCTCTTATGATAATAGGAGATAGTAAATAATAGCAATAAATAATAAATAATAAATAATAAATAATAAATAATAAAATAACAAATAACAAATAACAAATAACAAATAATAAATAATAAATCTGTAGTAGCAGAAAGCCCCTGAACGGGGAATAATGAGTATTGACTCCGTGATTGCAGAAGGCTGATCAATCTACTGTACTACATTATATTATATTTATTATATCATATATTCTAGTTATATTATATTATATTATATTATATTATATTATATTATATTATATTATATTATATTATATTATATTATATTATATTATATTAATTATGTGTATTATATTATTATCTCTATTATATTTATTTTTTCATATAGTATCATAAAATAATAAATTAGCCTTCTGAGAACATGGAATCAGATTCATCATTCCTCCCTGCCATGGTCACCCTGCAAATATAATAAAAAGGAATTTTTCTTACCTGTGCAGCAGCCAAACTACAACGTGCCCAAGCTGCTTCCACCTCCACCTGCTCTTCCGGCCTCACTAGGGAGTTACAAGCCTTTGCAGAATAAAAATGGTAGTTTGTCGTTTCAAAGAAACATCTTGGACTCAAGACAGCTTTTAAGTCCTGACTTTAGGAATTCCTCCTTCCCTGTAATTGCTGGTAATTACCCTGGTGATGAGATCTGTGTCCTGGTAACAAAGGAGCAAACAGAGTCTGACTCTTGGCTGTGTTTGCAGGAAAGGCTTTGAAAGGATGGGTGCCCTGTCTGCTTCCACTTCAAAGGCTGGGAGCTCCTCAGCCCCAGCAGTCCCTTCAGCTCCTTAAAGGATGGGCTTGACACCACAAATCAAGGGACTGAAATGAAATAACTTTCTGTTCTGGTGCATTACAAATATCAGAACAACCCAGTGCTAACACTGTTCCTGATAGAAGCATAGAGGGGAACCCACTGAGGGTGGAGTTGTGAAATCCAGACAGGGAAAGGACTATCAGCAGAGGATTCTCTGGGTGAGGTTTTGTCCCAGATCTCCTCTGTCTAACCTTCTGGGAGTTCCCACTGCAGCAAGCTTTTCCAGTGCTAAAACTGATCCTGATGGAAGCACAGAGGGGAAGCCACAGAGCGATCTCACCCCAGGAGCTGTGAAATCCAGACAGGGAAAGGACTATCAGCAGACCATTCCCTGGTCCCTGATCTCCTCTCTCTAACCTTCTGGGAGTTCCCATTGCAGGATGCTTTTCCAGGAGCTGGGAGCTGTCCTGCCAAGCTCCCTTGTGCCAGGCAGCCGCGGCATTGGAGCGCGGTGTCGGCGCTTACAAGGATGCTGGAGCTGCTCCAGTTGGACCCAGCAGCTCTGGCAGCTCAGGAAGAGCATTCACAGCTCCAGGATCTGGCCTGAAATTTGCCTTTGAGTTCCTGGAGGTGACTGGGAAAAGCAGCCTTTAAAATCAAGGCCAAATTGATGTTTCTAATGGTGCCACTGGGAAAAGCAGCATCTGCTCAGCTGGAGCATCCTCAGGCTGTGCTGCTCTGTGTTCCTGCATCCCTTGTGCATCCCTTTGTGCAGCCTCCCAGTGAGCAATGACAGCACGGTAGCTTTGCTCAGCCCTCCCTAGCCAAGCTTGAAGGAATCCCAGTGCTATCCCAGAGGGGCTGGAAGGGGATTTTCCAGCAGCAGGACACAGCAGGATTCCCTGGGTTCCATTAGTTCTGGCTCATTCCCTGTTTTCTGTGCCAGGGACTCCTTAAAACACAAAAGAAAAGAGAAACACTGGAGATAAAGCATCTCCTGTGTGGCTCTTTCCCATCTGCAGCACCCAGATACCCAGAGACACCAAAGCTGTCACAATATTTGCTGTCCTGAAAGGTCTGGAGTGTCCAACGGAGCCACTCAGGAGGGTGGGATGAGACTGCTCAGGGCACTGCTGGGGCACAGGGAGCCCTGAGCTGTTCCACATCACTATTTTGAGATTATCCTCCCCATCCCTGAGCCATGATCACTATTTTGAGCTTTTCCTCCCCATCTTTTTCATGTTCACACCCCCCTGTCTCCACCATCTCCCCTTCTCCTTCCTGCTGGGCTGGAGAGAGCTCCTGGTACCAAGAGCATCCTGGTGGGCTGGAGCCTGGTGCTTGTGAATTGCTTTCTCAACTGCTTCTGGAACACAACAATTTCCTTCATAATTTGTTAACAGCTCATAGAAAACAAACAAAAAAAATACATATTGGTGTCTGCTTTTATTTTTCTCAGCTGTGCTTCCACGTGCTGCTTGGCACGCAGGAGTTGCTGAAGGTTTCCTTCCCAGGGATTAAAGGTTCACTGTTATTTGGGGTTTTTTTATTGTAGGAACATCCAGACAAAATCAAACAAGTCGACTGAGTTAGGATAAATATTTTCAGTGGACACGCACAACACATCTGCCCTGCCAAATATTTGTTGTTGTTTGCCTGATTGGCTTTGGTGGAGCAGTTTCATGTTCTGCCAAGGGAGCTTTTTAAAAAACCAGCTTCAGAAGTATTATCTGTGTTTCAATTCTCACAAACACACAACACCAAATTTCCGGGGCAAAAAATTTTGTGTCGCTTTTGTTTATTTACGCTTCAGATCAGTCCCTGCTTTGCTCCCCCAGCTCCCACCCTGGATGGAGCTCCTGGGAGTGTTAAAGGGACCCTCAGTGTCAAAGCTGTGGAGCTTTGCTGTGTCCAGCACAACTTGAGGAGTAACTTGGTGTTGCCATCAGGATTATGTTGATTTTTTAGCTCTTCAGCCCATTAGAATCACCTGCTCCTGCTCACTAAGGCAGAAATACCTGTTCTTAAAATTCATATTTCCTTTGTGTAAGGGAGGAGCTCAGAGCTGTAAATAGTCTAGAAAATGAGAAAAAAAATAATCTGGGGTGTTGTGAAACTTGGGTGTTGTCTCTTGTGTTCCTAATTAGAGTAAATTAGGAGTATTTTCTTAGCATTAGTGATCACTGCCAGGCCATGTGGAAAACAATGGCAGCACTTTTGCAAACCTCATTTTATTTGCACTCATGGCTACAAATTCTGTCCTTCCCCTTTCCCTGCCCTGCAGGAGCTGACTCTGGCTGGGTTTTTGTGTTTCAGGGTTGTGTATTACACGGGCTACAGGCAGGTGTACCAGCTGAGGTCCCAGACCACCTACAGGTGCTGCCCAGGATGGTCCCAGCTCGCAGGGGATGCTGGCTGCCTGCACAGTAAGTGTCATTTTATTCTACTCAACTTCCTTTGTTTTGGCTCGTTTCAAGTCCTGTGCCTGCAGGAAATGCTCTAAAACTGTCTTTAAATGTCTTTAAAAATGTGCTTTAAAATAATTGTCATGGGTTTTTATTAGGTAATTTTTTCCTGGTATAATAACAAAAACAACAATGACAATAACAACAACGACAATAACAATAACAACAATAATAATAATACTTTTATTGATATTTTAATAATAGTAATAATATGAATAAGTAGTAGTATTAGTATTATTGATAATTCATTATAAAATTATAATTGCTGTTATTGTTGTAATAATTATTGTTATTGTTACTGTTATTATTGATATATGATAATATATATTATTATAATAATGAATAATATATTATATAATAATATAACAATTATTATTATATGATAACAGTATATAACAATATAACAACATCATTATTATATAATAATAACAACTATATAATATATAATTATACAATAATAAAATAATAAATATTATATAATAAATAATATATTATATATGATAATAATATATAATCATATATAATCATAAGAATAATAGTGTTAATTTTATTAATGATTTTATAACAGTAATAATATGAATAAGTAATAGTATTTGTATTATCAATAATTCATTATAAAAGTATTATTATTATTATTGTTGTTGTTGTTGTTGTTATTGTTATTGTTATAACAGAAGTTATAACTTCTAAACTTTTAGCTTATTCCATACAATCTCAGTGCCTGATTCTTCTCTGATTTATACCTTGGAGGTGCTTTCCATCTTTCCACAGAGAAGCAGCTTTGGATTTTAGTGATTTTAGTTATTTTAGTGATTTTAGTGATTTTAATGATGGGCAGGAGAAGCAGCAGAGCATTTTGGGGTCTGCCCTGCCCTGCCATCAGAGCCAGCTCCTTGGAAGATGTTTCCTGCAGCTGCTTGCCTTTTGTTCTGTGGAGAGTCTTTTTGTGCCTTCCCTGGGCTTTGATGCTTGTAGCAAAGCTTTTTTTTATTAAAAAAAAAAGGACAAAAAAGGTGTGTCAAACAACCAGGCTTTATTCTTCCCATCCCAAGCTGTGGCACAGGAGAACAACCCACAGGGGAGAGGAAGCTCCACGGGTGCCTTGTAGCCCCTGTCAGTGAGCAGATAATAACCTCAGCTGAACTCAGAAAAGCACCTTCTGTAATGAGTTTTCCTGCCAAGGAAGTGAGTAATTCCATGCAGGAAGGAAGCAGAGGAAAGGAAATAGAGCTGCTCGGGGCACGCTCTGAACTCATCCCTCTCATCACCAGGGGCTGCTCACTGCAGGGTTGGGCTGGAGGGGAGAAGAAAGGGATGAAAGCAGAGTGACACCAGCCCAAAAACTCCTGCAGGAATTGCTGCTGAGCTGCTGGGGAGCTTGAGGTGGATCATGGCCTGGAGGTGGTGAGCTCTGTCCTCATTCAGCCCTTCAAGCCCAATTGGATATCACCCAGAACGTGCTGTAACCTTATTCCTGGGACAGAAAAATAGGGATTTGTGTGCCTCAAGTGCTACAGGCACAACAGGGAGCTGATCTCTGCTGGCCCTCAGCACAGGCAGGGGGCAGAAAATAAAATTACATTGTTCTGTGAATCTTCTGAGCAGTAGCAGAGCAGCCAGGTTAGCTGGTGGGAATTCTCACCTCAGCAGGTCAGGGCTCAGGTGGGAATTATGCTCTCTGCTTCCAGACTCTCACAGGTAGAAGGTGGAGGAGCATCCCAGGGGCAAATGGGACAGCTCTGCCTGTGTGGCATTCACATTTTCTGGAAAAATGTGGAAAATCCCTTCACCCAGGATTTTTCTCCTGGGAAGCTGAGGAGCCTCAGAGAAAAGGAAAACAATTCTTATCTCATTTGCTTCTCCTGTGTTGTGCTCACATGTGGAATGTGTTTGGAGATTGTTTATCCACAGGTGATTGTTTCATTGGACTCTGGTGTGAGTTGTTTTCAGTCTTTGGCCAATTGGTGCCAAGCTGCGCTGGGGCTCTGGAGAGAGTCACAAGTTTTCATTATTATTTTTTAGCCTTCTGTAAATATCCTTTCTGTAATCTTTAGTAGAATAGAATAGAATAGAATAGAATAGAATAGAATAGAATAGAATAGAATAGAATAGAATAGAATAGAATAGAATAGAATAGAATAGAATAGAATAGAATAGAATAGAATAGAATAATAAATTAGCCTTCTGAGAACATGGAGTCAGATTCATCATTCCTTCCTGCCCACAAATACAATATGCCTGGTCCCTGCCCCAAGGTGCAGGGATTTTTCCCAGCTTTACAGAGATAGGATAACTCAAAGTGTTTTAAAAGATTTTATTTCTATTTCCCACATCAAGGAATGTGCCTGGGCTCTGTGTAACTAAACCCTCATCCCAGGCTGTGGGTTTGCAGGGCTGTGATGGCTTTTCCTGCTGGTGGCTTTGTCCTTGTGGAGCAGAGGAGGTGGAGGAAGGTCTGGGAGGGAATTGTGACCATCAGGGAGGTGCTGGGGCAGGGAGCGGCACACAGCCAGGCTGTTATTTATGGGTGCATTTATTGGTGTATTTATTCCTGCATTTATGGGTGCTGGAAGCTCCCCTGGTTGGTGTGTGGAGCCCGGGGTCAGGCTGTGCTTGCTGCTGTGGCTCTGCTGAATGGCACAGAGCTGTGCCAGAACATGTCAGCAGGATCTGTGGCCCTTCCTCTCTGCCTGCAGAGATCATTGATGGTGTTCCAGGAGCACAGAGCAGGGCAAGGGCATCTCTGCTGACAGTTTAATTAGGGCTGCTGTGCAGTGAATCTCTCCACTGAGGGCATCTTGCTCTCCCTTGGGGGCTGGCATCTCCTCACTGCAGGGCTCTGTTTGCTCTTTGTGCTGGTCATCATTTCTCCTTCAAAATAAAAATACCCCAGTGTGGGAATGGGAAAAACAGAAACTTCCACAGACAACTGAGGGGTTTGATCTGCAGCCTTGGAAGAAGCTTGGGTTGATGTGACAATACAATACACAGCTATTAGGCAGAAAAATCATAAATTAATGTTTTATAGGTGCTATTTGTGTCTCTGAGCTCTTACAGGTGAAGAAATGTCCCCAGAACAGAGCTGTGGGCACAGTACTGGCAGGCTGTGGGCTCTGCTAGCAGCAAAGAGCTTGGAAAGAGATGGAAAATTACGTAGAAACAGAGACCTCACTGAATATCTGGATTTGTTCCTCTCCTTGTGTGCCCTCTGAAATGGTGACACCCAGCCTTGCTCCTGCCACCCCCAGGGCTGCCAGAGAGGAATGCAGGGAGCCCTGACCCTGGCAGGTTCTGTCTTTTGTCCCCTTCTCTTGTGAGGATGAGGATTTGCTGCCTTGCATTGCCGTCAGTCCTGCTCCATCTCTGTTCATCTCCATGGGAAGGAGAAGGGTCAGAAATCAAGGCACCCTTTGCATTTTTGGGATGGCATCAGGTCCTTTCCCTGCCTGGTCACTGATAGTTTAACTCTCAGACTGAGCTGCCTGCTTTCAAGTGGCCTCTGAGATGCTGCTTGAATTCCACCTGGGTTCAATAACTCAGGTAAAGCCCTCAGTGATTAGGTGAGGGGTCTGCATGTCTGCCAAGCTCTGTGAGCTCCACTTGCAGCGGGAGATGTTGAAAAACTGAGTCTGGAACTCTTGATGAGTGTGGAGGAGCTGAAGCTTAGCCACCCCCAGCCTGTGTGTGCTCTTGGACCAGCCTGAGAGGGTCCTCAGAGCTGGCACAGCCCTGGAGCCTGGCATGGCCTTAGAGCCTGGCATGGCCCTGGAACTTGGCACAGCTCTGGAGCCCAACATAATCCTGGAGCTCAGCACAGTTCTGGAGTCTGGCATGGCCCTGGAGCCCAGCATGGCACTGGAGCTGGGCACAGCTCTGGAGCCTGACACAGCTCTGGAGCCTGGAATGGCCATGGAGTCTGGCACAGCTCTGGAACTTGGCATGTCCTGGAGCTTGGCACAGCCCTGGAACCTGGCATGGCCATGGAGCCTGGCACAGTTCTGGAGCCCAACACAATCCTGCAGCTCAGCATAAACCATGGAGCCTGGCACAAATCTGGAGCCTGGCACAGCCCTGATGACTGGCACAGTCCTGGAACCCAACACAGCCCTGGAGGCTGGCACAGCCCCAGAGCCCTGCTCTGTCCTAGAGCCTGGCACAACTCTGGAGCCTGGCACAATCCTGGAGCTTGGCCTGACCCTGGATCCCAGCACAACTCTGGAGCCTGGCACAGCCCTGATGACTGGCACAGTCCTGGAACCCAACACAGCCCTGGAGCCTGGCACAGCCCAGAAGCCCCACTCTGTCCTGGAGCCTGGCACAACTCTGGAGCTCAGCATGACCCTGGAGCCTGGCACAGCCCTGATGACTGGCACAGTCCTGGAGCCCAACACAACACTGGAGCCTGGCACAACCCTGGAGGCTGGCACAGTTCTGGAGCCCAGCACAGCCCCAGAGCCCAGCCATGTGCACCATCACGGGGTGGCAGCTCAGGTTTGTGATGCAGGTTGGAAGCTCGGCAGGAAATGCATCCAGCTGACAGTTTGATTTCCCTGAGAGGCAGCTTTGCTTTGTCCATCACCTCCTGGCTGCTGCAGGCTCTTTGTTTAGTCAGCTGAAAGGCTGTGACTGAACTCCTGAACCTCTCACCCGAGCTGGAGCTCAGTGCTGGGTAAAATCCATCCTGGGCTCCCCTGGGAGCTCCATCTCTGGACCTCGGGGAGCCCAAACATTGCTTTTCTTCATGGCTCTTCCTCCTACATCAGTCTCATGTCTCCGACTTCGCCAGGATCCCGCCTGGCTGAGCTCTCACAAAGGACACAGCCTGGCCTCTGAGCAGAAGGCGGTGATGCTTCCCATAATTTATTCTTTCTCTGCACAGTGTCATTACCCTTTCCCCAAATTTCATCACATTAAACTCTGTCGCTCTGAATTAGGAGCTCGTTTGCAGGAGGCCTGGAGGG